AAAAGTATTTGTCTTTGTAGAACTGAAAACTAAGATTTTAGCCAGACATGGCTAAAATATGATAAAGACCAATGAAAAGAGGCATCAAACAACTAATCTTACTAATCTACTTGAAGGAGATGATCCACAGTCTTCAGATCTTCAGAAATTGTTGAAATCGGAGAAGAAACGCCTCCAAAATCGTATTTTCGTCGTTTGGAACCTCTGGAATCGCCAACTTAGGTTACTGGAAGGTTATAAGGGTCTATTTATATGTCCAACAGCAAAAACGACGCGCATGCGATCACATGTTTCAAAGTTGCGATCGCATGTTTTGAGAAAACGTGTCACATGTCCTTTTTAATGAAGTACGATGCTATTTTGGCACGTTTTAGGATACCTTCGATCCCATATAGCAACGTTGTGATCGCATGTTTTGAGTTTTTACTCCCAGATGAATTTTTGGCACAGAAAAAAACCTCGAATCCAAGTTGAGACCAAATATGCGATCGCATGGACCAAAGTTGTGATCGCATTTTTTTCCTAAGATGTCCAGAATTTCATCTAGTTTTCAGATCATTCTGAATCGCGTCAATCGGAGTTACGGTTCATGAGATATGGTCAAAATACTGACAGGGGGTCAAAGCTGCCACCAACATCCTTTAACTTTAGATTGCAGATTCTATCTTCGTGTGATCAATTCGATCGAATGTTTCTTGACCAAAGCATCTTGCAAGCATTCCTCATAACCCTTCATAAGTCCCAAGCTCCATTTTAAGCTCCAAACATGCATCCAACTGCTTCCAAAGCACTGCTACACTTGAACTATCTGAAATTGACATAAAAACATGAGCAGTACGAGAATTTTAACAAAATACATGAGCTAAACATTATTTAAATAAATGACACGCCAATGTACAAAATATGATGCTAAAATGATAATAAAAACTACCCTAAAGGATGCATAAAATGGCATCTAACAATACACTAAAAAAAGGCATGGCGCGCCACACATTATGTCTGAGGGTTGACGTGGCAGTCAAGTCATCTAATGGTAACACATGGCAAGATCGTAGGGGCTATTAGAGGTGTACCGTGTCCTCTGTCTATGCGCGTGGTTGCGCGTGAATTTTTATAAAATCTTAGAAAACTCATATCTTCTTCGTACAAGCTCCGTTTTTTATGTGTTTTATATTCACACGTAGCTATTGACGAGATCTATAACTTTCATTTAGACTCCGTCGACTAATTTTTACTTTATTTTTAAAGTTATATTTTTAACATGTTTAGACTGTTAAAGTCTGTTAAAAATTCATAACTCTCTTGTCCGACGTCTGTTTCCGACTATCTTTATATCGACGGATAGGTATTGACGAGATCTTCAACTATTGTTTAGATTGTTTCGGATAAAAGTTAACCAATCAAAAATTCGATTCATGTGCAAATATAGTTACGTTGAAATATTAGAAAAATCATAACTTGCTCTCATGAAGTCAAATTTAGGCGTTGTCTATATGCACACTCTCAGTTTTATGATTACTACGACTTTCGTTTAGACTACTTATGCTAATAAGCCATCTATCTCCGATTCACTATTTACAATATATGTAGCCGTATTGGGTCTAACACGAAACTTCAACGCATCATAACTTATTCGTTATAAGTCGGACTGGAGTGTTCTTTATATCTCCGAAATCCTCATTACGGCTACTTCCTCTTTCATCAAGGCTATTCATCCTAATTATTACTCGATTTTGGACGTATATTGTATTCTTATTTTATTATATTGTTTTAAGTATGTATATCACATATAACTACATAAACCACATGATACTCATATAATTATCTTTATGAATTTCATAAAAGGTTACAATTGTTGACCATTACAATTCCATCATTTTATTAATGCCTAGCGAGAAATACGGACGTTACAAATTCTGATATTTGGACCTCACCTGTTATTAGCTCTAGTGGTATTTGTTATTATGTTATTTTTTTAGACCACTACTCTCATTTTCTTTGGATCTACCCCTTAAAACATAAGAGTGGTGTTTTTAGTAAATTCCTTCATTTTATTAACATTGTCAAAAACCAATTCAGAACAACCATAAAAGCTTTTCAGTGTGACAATGGGAGGAAGTATGACAACCATTTATTCCTGATTTTTTTCTTCCAAAAATGGAATCTCCTTTCGCTACTCGTGCCCTCACACCTCTCAACAAAACAGTAAATCCTAACGCATGCTTCAGATCATAAATAATGTTGTTCGAACCCTCCTATTCCAATCTCACATTCCTCCACATTTTTGGGTGGAAGCATTACACATGGTTGTTTACTTACTCAATATTACCCCATCCTCCTCGATTCAAAATGACACCCCGTTTTATCGCCTACAAAAACCCCACTCCAATTACTCCAAACATAAAGTCTTTATTTGCCTTTACTATACTCACCTCACTATATCCCACAAACTCCAACCTCGTACTACCCCGTGTGTTTTCCTTGGATTTCCGACTCTTTATAATGGTTTTTGATGCTATGACCTCCCCTCTAGAAAATTTATCATCTCTCGTCATGTAATTTTTGACAAGACAGTTTTCCCCTATGGCTCCGTCACTCCTCACGAGTCCCCATATCAATTTCTTGATGATAACATCGACACATCACCTCTCTCTTTTCATAACCTACATTCCTCCCACTATCCCCCAACACTTCACCTACCTCCACTCCTAACAATCAATCTCCACTAGAACCCTCCCTCTCTCAACATTCCACCACCTTGCCATCTCTTACTCCCATATAAACTCACATCAACAATCCAATCATGTCTACCATTCAAAATAACCCCATCCTCCCTCTCATCCTATGACCACTTGCTCCCAAAGTGGTATTCACAAACCCATTGAACACCTCGAGCTTAATATCACTTCTATCTCACCGGTCCGTCGCTCATACTTATAGGTACTTCGGGACCTTAACTTGAAACAAGCAATGAAAGAAGAATATCATGCGCTTATGTCAAATGACATTTGGACTTTGGTTCCAAGACGGACAGGGGTGAACATTGTGAGATCTATGTGGTTGTTCAAACATAAATTCAATGTTGATGGATCGATTGTGATGAGACATTTAGTCCAGTGATCATAGTCAGCAACATGGTATCGATTGTGATGAGACATTTAGTCTAGTGGTGAAACCGGCCACTATTCGCGTTGTGCTTAGCATTATCATCTCTCTCCAGTGGCCTATTCGGTAACTAGATGTGAAGAATGCATATCTTCACAAGTACTCTTTAGGAGATGGTTTACATGCACCAGCCAGTAGGTTTTCATGACTCTCGTCACCTAGATCGTGTATGTCTCCTTCAACGCTCTCTATACGACCTCAAACAGGGTCCATGTGCCTGGTACCACACATTTGCCGATCATGCTTCCAGAATGTGTTTCTTTCACAACCGTTCAGACCCCTCTATTTTTTTGTATCACTCTGCTGAACACATTGCTTACCTTCTCCTATATGTCAATGGCATCATTCTGAATGGTTCCTCGACAACTCTTCTGCATCATATTATCTTTCTTTTGAGCAAAGAATTGCCATGACTGATCTCGGGCCACTAAACTATTTTCAAGGGATCTCTACGAGTCGAGACACACAAGGTCTTTTCTTGTCTAAAAAAGTACGATCTCGGCATTCTTCATAGAGCTAACATGATGAAGTGCAATCCATGTCGCATGCCTGTTGAAACCGTCCACAAGTTAAATGCAGACGACAAACCGGTTGCTGATCCCACTCTTTTTCGTAGTCTTGCTGGAGCCCTGCAGTATCTTACCTTTACTAGATCGGACATCTCCTTCAATGTTCAACATATTTGTTTCTACATGCAGGACCCTATAGAACCTCATCTTCACGCTCTCAAATGTATTCTTAGATACGTGCATGGTACCATCAATCATGGTCTTCGTACTCATGTTTCCTCCCAATCCTCTCTCATAGCTTATTCAGATGGGGTGTATGTCCTGCCATTTGGAGATCGACTTCAGGCTACTGTATTTTCCTCGGCGACAACATTATGGTCATCAAAACAACATGGTGTCATCTCCTGTTCCAGTACTAAGGCAGAATATAGGGGAGTTGTGAATGCCATTGCTGAGATATGTTGGATCCGTAGTCTCGTCAAAGAACTCCATTGTCTACCTAACAAGGCCACAATTGTCTACTGTGATAACATCATCGTGGTATATATGTCATCCAATCTGGCGCAACACCAATGCACAAAACATATAGAGATTGATATTCACTTCGTTTGCGACAAGGTTGCTACCAGTATCATCAGAGTTCTCCATGTTCCCTCTTCATCACAATACGCGGATATTTTCACGAAGGGCCAACCTTTCATGTTGTTCCACGACTTTCGATCCAATTTAAATGTTCGTCCTTTTCCCGTTCAAACTGCAGGGGATTTTAGTGGATAATATGTGTAGCCCATGTATACCTTGTTGTATATTCAGCCTTATGGCCCATATTGTATTTGTATATATAGTTGTGTACTCATTCATTTACAATTCAATGAGAATGATACCCACTTTTCAACTACAGGGATCATTCGTGTAATTTACTCGTATTTCAGGCTTCTTTTGATGATAAAATTTTGCTTTTTTATCTAGATTTTGAGTTAATTTTGGTTTAATTTATAGGTTTTATTTGAATCAGGGCTTCGTGAAGAAAGATATGATATTTTAAGGGTTTAGTTATACTCCCTTAAGGTTGAAATGAAAGAGATGGGATGTTTAAGATGATGGTCTAGCGAAGGATCAAATTTACAAATAAATTTCTTTTTTGACCTAAGCCGAAAATCACCTAAACTTAGGGACCAAATCTTTAATTTAGTCCATTATAAGTCAACTGTTTTACTTAATTCCAACACTTTGCACTGTATTTCGTCAACCCTTTTTGCTTCTATTTCCATCCTTTGAAAACCAAACCTTCACTAAAGAAAACGATCTTTCTTTTTCCTAATTCCAATGGCTGAAATCGCTGTTACTGCCGTCATCACTGTGCTATGTGAGAAACTGACCTCCGGTGATCTGATGAAGCTAGCTCGATCGGAGGGAATCGATTCTCAGCTGAACAAATGGAAGAATACCTTGCCTCTGATTCAAGCCGTGCTTGCTGATGCAAGTCAGAAGCACATAACAGACAGAGCTGTTCGCTTGTGGCTGAACAATCTCCAGAATTTGGCTTACTCAATAGACGATCTACTCGATGATTTGGCCATGGAATCTCTGCGACGCAAGTTGAATAAGAAATCTCATGCAAGCACAAGCACTAGTAAGGCACTGAAGATCGTCCCAACTTGTTGTACTAATTTCACTCCTAGAAACGTTATGTATGGTCAGAAGATGAGTTCTAAGCTAGATGAGTTCACCACCAAATTGCGTGATCTTGTTGACCAAAGGAATGATTTGGGTTTGAATGTGAATGTTGAAAGGTCAAATATAACAGAGAGACGGTTGGAGCAAACTTCACTGGTTGATGAGTCCAAAATCATGGGTCGGGAAGGGGATAAAGAGGCCTTGATGGGGAAATTGTTGGGAAATGAAGGATGTGACCAGAATGTGAGCATAGTGTCGATAGTTGGAATGGGTGGAATAGGAAAAACCACTCTTGCCAAGGTTTTATACAACCAGGAGAACGTGAAAGATCACTTTGAACTAAAGGCATGGGTTTGTGTCTCTGAAGTGTGTGATGTGTTCAATATCAGCAAGTGTATTTTCGGAGCTGTAGGTGGGGAGAACAAAAGCTTTTCAAATCTGGATCTGCTTCATGTAGCCCTGAAAGAAAAACTTTCAAATAAGAGGTTCTTACTTGTTCTAGACGATGTCTGGAATGAAGACCACAATAAGTGGGAACTCCTCCAAAGCCCTCTTCTTGTAGGGGCACCTGGAAGTAGAATTATTGTCACAACCCGGAGTACCATGGTTGCATCAGTGATGGACTCAAAAGAAATTTATGGGCTGGACGTTTTGTCAAATGAAGATGGTTTATCATTATTTGCTCAACATGCGTTAGGTGAAAACAGCTTTGATCAACATCCAACACTTAAGTTGCTTGGTGAAGGTATGGTTCAGAAATGTGGTAGATTGCCTCTGGCTTTGAAAGCACTTGGGAGGGTCTTGAAGGGAAATAGGAATGGTGATAAATGGGAGAAGTTGTTGAAGAGTGATATTTGGGATATAAAGGATGGAAGTGAGATTCTTCCCGCTCTAAGAATAAGCTACTATCATCTCCCTCCACATTTGAAGCAGTTGTTTGCATACTGCTCTTTAATTCCCAAGGACTACGTGTTTGACAAGAATAAATTAGTTCTTTTGTGGGTGGGAGAAGGATTTTTGTCCCACTCAAAAGGAAACAAGTCAATGGAGGGTTTAGGTCATGAGTATTTTGAAGAGCTAGAGTCAAGGTCCTTTTTTCAACATTCAACGAATGACGAGTTAGGATATACAATGCACGACCTAATAAATGACTTGGCCACAAGTGTTGCAGGAGAGTTTTCCTTTAGGATGGTGAATGACATGGATGTATCCGACACAAATGAAACTTTTGATAAGTTTCGTCACTTTTCACTTATAGCTTCACCATCAGGATCATATAGAAAGCTTAATGAATTACAAAGAGCTAAACACTTGAGGACTTTCTTAATAATGTCACTTAGACAGGAAATTGACGGCTTTGACAAAATCCTTGTGGAATTACTTCCTGAACTGCGGTTCCTGAGGGTGCTAAGTGTCGTGGGCTTGAATCCTAACCGTTACAATTACTCAGGAGCTTATTGGATAATCACAAAGGTTCCACAATCCATTGGCAGTCTCAAGCATCTACGGTACCTTAATTTTTCTTATACTAAAATCACATGTTTGCCGGAACAAGCGAGTGACCTTTATAATCTACAGACCTTGTTGCTTCATAATTGTCATCAGTTATCTAGCTTGCCTAAGAGTTTTGAAAAGTTAATAAACCTGCGGCATCTTGATGTAAATGACACTCCGAAATTGAACAAGATGCCCTTAGGGATCGGTCGGTTGACGGGTCTACAAACTCTATCCAAGGTCTTTATTGAAGAAGGTAACGGGTTCAAAGTATCCGACCTTAAGGGTCTAACAGATCTTCAAGGCCGGCTTTCCATTATGGGTCTAGACAAAGTGATAAATCCATTAGAAGCAAAGGATGCCAACTTACATCAAAAGAAGGGTCTTGAAGTTTTGGAGATGAAATGGAGTGATAATGTGTTTGATGATTCTCGGGATGAGACGATTGAATATGAAGTACTTGAAGAACTAAGGCCTCCTCCTAAGTTAAAAAACCTCATGATTTTGAATAACAAGGGAACGAGATTTCCTAGTTGGGTCGGTGATCCTTCGTTTGATCAGTTAACAAAGCTTAGGTTGTGTTGCTGTAAAAGTACACATCTAACAACACTTGGACATCTACGATCTCTTAAGGAATTATTTGTTAAAGGTATGAATGAGGTGAAAACGGTGGGTTTTGAGTTTTTTGCACCTACAAATTATTTTCTTGGCATTGCATTTCCATCTCTTGAAGTTCTGGAATTTCAAGATATGCAAGGTTGGCAGAGATGGTCGATTAATAGTGGCAACAGGCATGTAAGTCCTAGATCATTTCCTCGTCTTCATGAGATCTCTATAAACAGTTGTCCAAAACTATCTCAAGTGTCAATCGGATCGATACCTTCACTTCGAGTTTTATATATAAGAAATTGTTCCAAAGCAATGTTAAGAAGCATGGTTGGTTTATCCTCATCACTTTCTAAATTTGAAATGTCTAAGGTTAAGGGACTTACTCAACTACATGGAGAACATTTAATGCATTTTGGGTCACTTGAACATCTATATATCAGCAGTTGTGATGAACTGAGATACTTGTGGGAACGAGAATCAGAGGCATGCAAGAGTCTTGTGAGTTTACAGAAGTTGGAGGTATGGAATTGTAAAAAGTTGGTTTCATCAGCCGAGAAAGAGGTTAATTATGGGATTAGCATGGAATCTCTTAAACAAGTGAATTTCAGTTATTGTGACTCACTGGAGAGTTACAATTGTTCAAATACAGTTGAGAGGTTGGATGTATGGTTTTGTGGTTCACTGATATCATTGACCTTCTCAACTGTGCAGGAGCACCCATCCTCTGTCCCCATGTCTTGCCTAACATATCTTTTCATCAATAATTGCAAAAATCTAAAGTCATTTCCTCATGAACATTTTCAAAGTCTCACGTCTTTGGAAGAAATGCTGATAACTGAATGTCCAAGTATGGACTATTCCTTCCCTTGTGGGGTGTGGCCTCCTAATTTAAGGAAACTAAGGATAGGATGCTTAAATAAGCCCATGTCAGACTGGGGCCCGCAGAATTTTCCAACCTCGCTAGTTCAACTATACTTAAAGGGCGAAAATTCAGGAGTGGTTTCATTTGCAGTGGCAGACGATGTGAGGAATAATAGTACTACTCCATCATCATCATCATCATCATCATCATCATCTTTTCTTCTTCCACCATCTCTGGTTTCTCTATCACTCGATGGTTTTAAGGATGTGGAATCATTTTCAGAGGTCTTACAATATCTCCCCTGCCTTAAAAGTCTTCATCTTATCTCATGCCCAAAGATTAGAGATCTTGTCACAACTTCCAACCCATCAAATCTGAGAATAAATGTGGTGAAGTAGACAAGGCATGCAGTCTCCTTTCCATCTGTATCTCTTACATAGGTACTAAAAGTGTGGTTATTCATTTCAATATTGTTATTCTAATCATTGTTTCTTAACAAATGTGAAAGAGGGTTCTATGAACTTGTATCCTTGTTTGGATTTATAAGTATTATGTCCATCTCTTATGATAAACATCAGAAATTCTTTTTGTTTATTATTATTTATTTGGATAAATGCGATATTCCGTATTTATTTTGAGACTTGTTTGTCTTGGTTTGTTGATAATACTATTTTAATATTGAACTAACAATAAAAACTAGTACAAAAAGAAGAGAAAACTATAACTGCAGTAGTTAAATAGTTTTCCGGTTTTTGTAGAACTTTTACCATTAAGTTGCCGTGTATATTGGTTGCAGCTGTATTATTTTATCTTCATTGCACCACGTCTTTTGTGTTTTCTTTTTCGTTGTCATGTTGTGGTGGTTTCTGTTAATATTGGCTTCCAGCTGTAAACATGTGTATCGTTGAAAAATTACTAGAAAACATAACGAAATTGTGTATAATATGGACGTCAATCAAGAATCTTTGACTTTTTTTGGACATCATTCCAGAAACTTTGACTCAAATGGGTTTAAGATATTGATTTTGATAATTATTTTTGAAATCTGGCACCATCTTAATCCTTTTGTAGTATTTATTATATAACTTTAGATTTTTTTACAAAATGTATCAGTGTCAGAGGTTAGAATTAATCCATTTGACATAAAATCTTTTCTCTTTTGATAAAAATCAGGTCAAACTCTATATAAAATGACTAATTGTGTTTTGTGTGATTGTCCTTTTCTTATTATCTTGAGTTTATATTTTTCATATATATAATTTGTCATCAGCATCATAAGTATGATGTAAAGTCTACACATTCTAAACTTCTTCAAATATTTTCCCAATTTCTTTGTTCACGTTAGGGATTAGTGGAAGAGAGGCAAATCAGCTACATATGCGTTCCATTCTAGAGACTTTAAAGGATATGACTAAATACAAAACACTTTCTTGACAGTTGATGAATGATAAGTGAAAACAAATCTAAATGAAAAAAAAAAAAAAAAAAAAAAAAATCCTGCATCCAAAGCAGTTAATGTAATGATAATAATAAAAAAAAAATGTCCCCCTTCACCACCTTCTTCTGCCTCTTCTAGTTGCATTGCCCATAAACAATGAACCTTATGGATTGTATCAATAAGCTCAAACAATCATGCAATGGAAATTGGAATCTGAAGAAAATAAAATTGTCATGGAATTGGAAGAGTATAGGCCTTCAAGTGTGAAACATATGGGATTAAAGAGGTGTTTGAGTATGTTTAAAAAGAGGATTTTCTGGGAATTGAATTCCACGGGTTTTACTTTAGGACAGAATGTTGAAGGATTTCATCATAAATCAATTCCATACTCATTTGCAACCAAATGCAGGATTCAAATGAAATAGAATTCTAACTACAGTAAAATCCCAAGAAATCAATTGTCAAAGTAAAACATAACTGTAATATGCGAAAAGAAGAAACATGAAGGAAATTACCGGTTGTGTTAAAACTGTATAGGCAAAGTTACCCCAATGTCAATACATTTGGAATATTAAATGCAAGAAACAATGGGGAAAAGCTCCTTTCCCCCGCTTCCTATATTAAGTAAAAAAAATAATAAATAACAATGTCATTGAGGCAATACATCAAACACATTAGATGCAATTGCAAACCAGAAAAGAATTATCAATAAAGAAATAGAGAGAGAAAGGCTGAAAATTCTCAAAAGTTGTAATATGAAACAGAGTAGCACTTCAAGAAATGCTCATAATCTCAACAACTAACACTCTACGTTAATTAACTGGTTTGATTTACTTCAAAAACACAGTTACAAATAGATTATAATAAGGAGAAAATGCAAGTAGAGAGTCAGATACTGCATACCTCATCTATATCTCCAAAAGGTATATTCATCTGCAAAATGGAAACACAAAGTTAATTAGGTTGATTATGCTAGATAATGTGCTGAAAACTTAGATATGACAGGCTGAAACATACAAGAGTGACATCCATTGCACATCAATAGCTGTGATGAACAACCTGAAACATATATTCTTTGATAATTTCTTAAAATCGGAATCAGTTTTATTTTAGGTGAAGTCAAAGTTCATGAAATTTGCCTCTTCTGGTAGAAGATCAAACATCATATGCAAATCCTTAAAATGCAATTCATTTCAAGCACTTGTAATATATAAAGCAAATTGGTACCTGGAAGATTTATGGAGAGTTTTCTATTGTTCTAATATGGAGACATCATGAGAAAAAAGCAATGATTTTACAACATCCTTCGTTAACCACTTTAAGAGGCGACAAAATTTCGATTAGGGCGAAAGGCGGTGATGGTTTTTGTTTGGTCCAGAGGGGGAGGAAGCTAATACTCTGGTGATCATTGTGAGGAGGAGAGATGCTGGTGCTCGGTGGTCTTCTCCAGAAGGAGAGAAGGAGTGATGGCTTTGAGGATCGAGCACAAAAATCCTTTTGCGCCCATTGATTTAAATAATAATAATAATAATAATAATAATTTTTTTTTGAGAAAAAATGTCAAATTTAGCCAAATATACTAATTACTTTGTGGAAAATAGCCAAAAAAATTGAAATTGCAAATTCGGCCACCGAAATCGCATATGGGAATGGTCCATCTGCGATTTTCACATCCCATCTGCGAATGTACGAGTGGCTAAAGCACTAACGTGCTTTAGCCACTTGTACATTCGCAGGTTGGATATTTTTTTAATTTTTTTTTCTTTTTTTTTGTATATATATAGGGTTTACCAGGCTAAAATCGCGATTTTATGTTTTTGTTTTACTATGAAATCAATAGGTTTGACTACGAAATAACCTTATTATATATAAACTTTTGTAGAAAATTATCAGTTTACTTGTTATTTCTTTAGGAAATTTCTTTAAAATCTCTCTAAAAATAATGATTGAATATTTGGTTTGTCTTGTAACTGGTGGGAGATGGCAAGTTATTGAAACAAATCTGGAATACGTATGTCCACAGGGAGATATCTGAATTCGCTTTGATACTTTCTGAGTATATTAGTTATAGTGATTTTGTATCTTTGGTGAGAAGCAAAATTGGTTTGTTAGACAAATATAGAATTAGTCTTCGTCGAATGCAGCAACTTCTTCGAATGAAGTAACTGGTTCCAATTTTGAACGGCAAACGAGGTGTTGGTTCTAACACGATGTCGGCTAAGTGTTAAGGAGGGTGTACCGGTACTTACTCCCCCGCATTGCCTAGTAGGTGATGAATGGACCCGCATAACACCTTTGTTCAACCATTAGATGGGAGAAGGACAACAACGATAACAATCAGATGTTGTTAGTAAATGGATGGATGTAAAGGAAGAATTCACATGGTTCAATCGAGCATGTAATTATGCGAAAAGTACCAAAGTTCGTTGTCGAGACGAGGAAGAGTTCTTGTAAGTTGTTATAGATTTTTACATCTTGGAGCGTGAAGGCAGAGACTTCGAATATGAAGACGTTTGGAAGGTTGTTAAAAATAATAAGTATTTCATGTAGACCGCTCTATTTTCCGTTAAAAATAACCCATGGAATATTTGTAATACTGTAAGTTTAATGGTTCATGGAATTGTTGTTAGTAATGTATTCTAAAGTGTCGTTAAAACTAATGCAACGAGCATTTATTAATTAAAATTAAATAGAGGAGGTGCATCCAATACAGACGTAATACATGAAAATAACCTAGTACACACCTAATAAATAGAAATAGATATTAAATAAACGGGACATATTTCAAAATATTCCAAGGGGCTTCAAACTGGAATTCCAACCTGTCACTTAATGACTTGTATTCCTCCTTAGCAGCTTCCAAGATGACCTCCTCAGTAGCATTTAAACGGGTGTCGTCAATTTTGGTGTAAAGATCGTTGAATAATAGAACTTTAGTTTTCATTTCATACCATCTTGCTAAGATGTCCAGTTCGTCATGATCGTTTGTTGTAGTCATTCGGTTTTCAGCGTTAAAGATATTGGTTAAACGAGTCCAAAACATTGGATCGTTCAACTTGTTGGTCTCGTACACGTGAATATATGCACGTATAAGAACCAAGAACTCCTCATTGCTCCATGGTATTGAACTCATTTTTAGTGAAACAAAGAGAGTAAATTTTCAAAAATAATATATGAATAACTGTAACATCATTTAGTAAACTGTTTTTTTAACTTAAAGTCAATTTATAATAGTTTATACACAATATCGCAGTCCAATCTTCTAATTTGTCTGCAATTCATAGTCCAACTTAACTGAAGACCGCAGTGTACTAACTGAGAACACAAGAGATCACTGTTCGAGTTGACAAGCCATTGCATCGAATGACAACACAATACACTGCTACTTGAGTTGACAAGCCATTACACCGGGAAAATAAGGAGTCGCTATAAATAGTTGTTCATATCCATTTTAATTGTATCGCATTACTTTTTCCCCTTGCAACTATGGACTCACCTGTACCACTTAGATGGAGCAACGAAGAGGAGGTCGCTTTGGTTCTGGATTGTAACTGTAGAGGACGATCTTCCACCGGGTCCGCTAGAAGTTCGCGCTGGACCATTTTGGTCTCGTTTCTGTCATTTGTTTCACCATCAAATGGGGCATACTCAATATCGAAGAAGAAGAAGAGATGTTAAAGTAAAGTTTCTGGATTTGAAAAAAAAGGTCAAGCATTTTCAACGTATTTATAACGAGTTGGATAATGAATATGCGAATATGGATGAAGACATTCTCATACAGGTGACTTTGGAACTATACCGTTTCGAATCTGATGGTAGAGAGTTTACCCATGGAGATGCATGGAATCTTTTAAATAATGTCCCTCACTTTTAATATGCATATTGGTTAAGTTGTTTGTTTTTCGTTAGTTACGTTGCTTGTTTTTGTACATGTGTTTTGTGAGTAGTTAATAAATCTCC